ATTTAGGGAATACAGACGGTAATTTGTGAATTACGACCGTATTTTTAGGGAGTCTGCCCGTATTTCATTCTCAGCTCCACTTTTGAGAGGCTTTTGAGTGACCAAACGACCTCCGATTGACCCGAAAGTTGCGCCTATGCCTCCCTTTACTCACTAGGGCCTGAAATATGACAAAATAACACAACCTAGCGTAAAATACGACAAGACACCACAAATTGGAGCCCAAACGGTTAAGAAACAAGTGTGCAAACATGTGCAAATATGGTGCTATCAGTTTATTGCTCGTATCAATAGTGATTGTATAGTAGTTATTTTGTAATAGCGGTTTCATTGTAATCATTGATTTGTGATCACTTTAATCCCTGCAGATTATTGTCAATGGTTAGCACGTGTCAACAACTACCCCATCCTAAGCCAAGTTTAACCTAAGATGGCATTGTCGAATAGTGGTAATCAATGTCGTATTTTAATCCGCTCCTAGTACCCTAACCTACTTCCCCACCTTGTTACTAATTAGTTAATCTGTTTTAGAAGTTTGAATGGAGGACGTGAGGAGATAACTAGACCAGAGATTGATCAAAGTTAAAAGCAGGTACTTCAGGGAACTAATCCTCCCCCTAGCTTAGGGTTACTATGCATGCATAAATACTCAAGGTTATCGAATGTGGTGAGTAAGCTCTTTTCTGTGGGCTTTTGTGGTCATCCACACGCCTCCCCTAAACCCATATAAAGTCACCTAGATCTAGGCTATCGTATTTGGGGCATTAAGCTCGTAGCTCCTTTCAATGGATACTATCCACCATCCACACTGAGGTTTCATCTCGGGTTCTATCTAGAAAGGCTAATGTACGACAAAGCTTTAGTCGCCTCAACCACCATAGGTCACTATTCACCGTTAGTCACTGGCGGTTAGTCTCCGTCAGACTCAGTTAACACCAATAGATGTTTTATGACGTGGCAAAAAAGAATGTTGATTCGAGCCCACATGTACACATTTTACCCCTCATTTCTTATTCGTTTAGCATAGTATTTCATCGTTCCTCGACATATTTCACGCTAGGTTGTGCTTGTTTTGATACATTTCAGGTCCTAGCACGTGTGGAAGGATCGAGGTCAAAGTTTGGGATAATTGGAGGTCAAAAAGCACAAAAACCGAAGAAAAGTATGAAGTCACTATTTGGATGCAATTGTCACGATCGCTAGAAGTCACAATTGCCTCGTAGCAGTGAAGTAAAGGCGTCCAGGAAACAGCCACAGTTCACGGTCGGACAAGGCAGTTCACGGTCTCCTAAGACCGTGAACTTGGATCACAAACCATGAATATCGAGGCGTCCAGCGAGGTTCCAAAAGTTACTGACGACAAGGCAGTTCACGTTCTCTAAGACCGTGAACCGGGGCCATTAACCGTGAACCCCAGAAGCGAAGCTGTGCGTTTTGGACTACACTGAGTTCACATACGCGTTTAGGTGTTCACGGCCGTGAACTGGCCAACACGTCCGTGAACTTGTCACTTTCGGGCAAATATGAAACAACAGCGAGGAGAGGAAAGATAGCTTCATTTTTTAGGTTAGGTTTTCATTTTCAGCATAAAGAGGATTCTAGTGAGAGGTTAGGGTTTCTTCTAGAGTGAGAAAGTACAAATCAAAGGAGGAAGAAGGAGCTTTAGGCTTGTTCCTAGCTAGAGGATTGAAGATTTCTTCATCTCAAGGGTGTCTTAAGCAACAAGCAAGAAAGATTGACATCACTTCATGGTTCTTTCTTATCTTTTTGTTGTTTTCTTTGCTTAGTAAATAGCCTACCTATTCACTTGGGTGTTATAAACCCTAGCTACAATTATGTGAATGCTTATATGAATTGAATGATTGTTTATGGGTGTTGTTTAATTCAATAATTGAGGTATTATTCATGTTGATTGTGCATGCTTGTGCTTACCAACCTAAGGATTGTGCATGATTGTGCTTAGCATCCTTAGGTTTGTGCATGCTGGTACTTAGCAATCTAATTAGCCACTTTAACCTAGATTAGAGAGGGAAATCCCCCTTTCAAGGGAGACTCAATCGAATTGGTTTTCCTTAGGGATGGTAATGGGTCGGGGGGGGGGGGGGATAGTGCATATCCGTTACCCTATCCAATATAGTTTGGGTTTTACCCATACCCGTACCCACACGAGAAATGGGTAGAAAATCAAAACCATGCCCATACCCATTCGGGTTTCGGGTATCCACGGTTATCCATGGGTAATAATTTCTCCTTATAATTCCAACCAATATGTTAACACTCACACGTATACTCACATTACGTAAGAGAAAAAGTACGACAATAATTCACTAGAATGACGAAAATTAATTAAAACAACATAATTTTATGAAAATATTATATTTATATGCTAAATATAAAATATTCTAGAGAAACATAATGATTATTTCTAGACAAAATACATATGCATGTGTATAATCGGGCGGGTTCGGGTTGGATAGTGAGATAACCATGCCCACCCATTACCTGCAATATTCGGGTTCGGGTTTTCCCGTACCCACGAAATATGCTTCGGGCTCGGGTTTTACCCTACCCGATTAGGTCGGATTCGGGTGGATATCCACGGTTACGGATATTTTTGCCATCCCTAGTTTTCCTTTAGCTTTTTAAGTCACCTAACTAGGTTAATTTAGGGAAAACCTCAATGTTGAATTAAGCAAATTGGCTAAGTGTGATTAAGCCGTCCAACCCTTGAGTTGAGTGAGGGAGTAAGTCAACCACCGATTGCCTAAACCGAGAGGGCCGAGTGGCACGGCCTATAATGTATACCTTGGTTTAGCAATTGAGAGTGTGGTCTACGAGACTACGAACATATTTGCACCCCTCTGCAGTTCGCGGTTACCTTGCCCATAGCAATCATTTCAATTCACATACCATGTAGGGATGGCAACAAAACCCGATCCCACGGGTACCCACCCGACCCAACCCGGTCAACGGAGGTAAAATCCGTGTTGACGCGTTTTGGGTCCGGTTTGGGTTTTAACCTGTTCACTATTCACCGAGTTGGGTTTGGGTTTAGGTAAATCCGCCCCATGGGTACCCGCGTACACTCATATAATTAATTTTCTCGGTATATTTAACATTCTAAACAACTAATCTTATTTATGTTTGTGGAGACTGTCAAATTTTTTCTTTCTAATTGTGTAGAATGAAGTTGGTGTTATTGAGTGGAGAGTGAAAAAACTTTATTGACAACGAGAAAGAAGCTCTCAATTAATCATGTTATTTATGGATAATTTGTGATTTACTTCAATTGTCTTGTGTTTTCTAGATTTGGTTGAACAATTTGTATAGTTAATTTGTGATTTGCTTGAATTTTCTAGAATGGTGTTTTATATATGGATAATTTGTATTGAGAGATTGATATTTGACTTTAATTTTGATAGGAACTTGTTATTGTAAATTTTTTACGACAAAAACCCGTGGGTACCCATGAACCTGCGGATACCCAGCGGGTTGGGTTGGGTTTGAGTTTTTCAAACCCAATGGGTTTTACCCCGGGTTTTTTTCACTAACAAACCCATGGGGTTGGGTTTGGGTTTGGCAAAACCCGACCCATTGTCATCCCTAATACCATGGTAGTAGTTAGGGGGAAGCAACACCCGAGTGAGGTCCTCTCATATAGAATTCCCCTCAATTTATGTTACTTGCTTGTTTTCATTTGTAGTTCTCATAGTTTTAACCCCAAAAAATCGTTTTACTAGATAACAACTTAAGTGATTGAAGTAGGGGTACATAGACCGTCCCGGGTTGAAAATTTAAATACTTGCCCAATATTGCACCCGACTAGAGTTCAAACGTGCTCCCGGTGAAGAACTTCAAAAGAAGAGGATTGAAATTACCTACTGGAGGTCGATGATGGGCGCGGTGGTGGTATAACAGTGGCGGCAGACTGGGGAACGTGGGAGGAGTGGTGCTCCGACATGGGACCAGAGATTGGGACAAGGTCGGTGCGGAGCTCTGAATCAAAGATTGGCAATGGGGAATCACTCTTGGACCTTGCAGATGAGGAAGAGTCGATCGTCGACGATGCACTCGTGTTTCACGATTTCACCCACACAGTAGAAGAATCGCACTCGGAACTAAGATCAGGAGCGGAATAATCGCGCACGGAAAGAGAATCATTGAGACAGGGAAGAGAGGTAGCACAGCAATGTCATCGGGTCTCGGCTTGCTCGCGTGATTCTTCTTTGATGAGGATGAGCATATCAACGAGTTCTTCCATTCGCGACGACGGTGGTTTTTAGGGTTGGCAACGGGGTGGATCGGGGACGGGTAGCTAGTTCCCGTTACCCATCCGTCAAGGCTGGCGGATTTCCCCATCCCCGTCCCCGTCCCTTTGTCGGGGCGCGTTTGGTTTCCGTCACCGTCCCCAGACGGATTCGGGTAAACCACGGATCACCACGGATCCTGAGTAAAATACAAAAAAAAGGAAAAAACTAATAAAAATCCCTGAAATTCAAACTTCAAAGTACCTTGATGTTCAAGGCACATAAATTCAAAACACAAAAGAGAAGATCTGGGGCTGTAACCCTCCCACCACCCAACACCCAGATCTTTATTGTTCAAACAATGAAACAAAAGTGATAGGTTGCAGCAACCAAACAAGCTGCTGCAACCAAAACCCACCACCCAAAACCCATATAACATGTTCTTCACTACACTAGTGTTCAAGTTCAAAACTCAAAAGGAAGAGATAAAAAACAAAGGCAGACAGCCCCAATAACATCATCCATAAATCGAACTAAAACCTATACTAATAGCACACACGAGTTCCTTTGATCTTTTCTTCCAAAAAGTAAGCAACACTATGCTGCTGGAAACCAACTCAACACTCAACAGCAGCATTCATCCTTGAAAAATGAAAAGCAATCACTGCAAGAAACAGAGTAGCAAACACAGTTAGATAAGTGAAAGTCACTTTTAAATTGAACAAGTTAAAAGGCTCAAGTCTAGCTCAATACCTTGAACCTTTCATTGCATTGAACAAATCAGTCGTCTAGGGATATTAGATGCTTCCTCATCACAAGTCCCCCCTGAACTGTAAGAATAAAAAATTACAGTTAGAGATTGAAACTATCAAACTAAGTACCAATCTAAATTGAACTAATTACCAGCTTCGTCTTGATCTTCAGTACTGGAATCTGAAATTGCTAGAGCAGAGAACACCCCTTCCATTGCCTCTACAGCAGCCTTCGATGATTCTGCAGATTGAAGAAAACAATGAAAAAGACAATTAATATTCAATCAAGTTAACATTTTAATGAAAAAGACAAGTAATTGCAGATTACCTTGTTGCATTTCCTCCATAATCCAACTTCTGGTACACATCATTGCCTCTATTGTATCATAGTGCAATCTACTCCGATGAGGGTCTATTAACCTCCCACCAGAGCTAAAAGCATATTCAGAAGCCACTGATGTAATTGGTATGGCCAAGAAATCCCTTGCAATTGCTTGCAAAGTGGGGTACTTAAGGCCATTCAGTTTCCACCACATCAGTATATCAAAGTCAGGAGACCTTTTAGGAATCAGTTCCTCAAGAAGATAGTGATCCAGTTCAGTATGGACCAGAGTTGCTTTGCTTTTTTTTCTCCGACTCACAAACAGTTCAAAATCAATATCATCATTTGTAGGAGTAAAAGAACTATCATAAGCAGTTGAAGAACCAGAATTGTTCCTCTCAGACTTGGTTTGGTAATCAAGCACCAAACCACAAATACATTGCTTAATCTTATCAGCCACCAAGTCAGTATTAGTACTGCCAAACTTAGCAGCATAATACTCAATCACATGCAACTTGTATCTAGGATCAAGAACCACTGACACAGCGAGAACCAAGTGTATATCATCCCAATACTTAGAAAATTTCTCCCACATACTCTCAGCCATAGCCGAGATAAGAGAATTGGTATCAGCACACCATTCCAACAATTTCAGTCTCAGATCACAAACCTTGGGGAAAAACAAATTAGCAGTGGGATACTTGCTGCCAGAAAACAGCTTTGTGATCTCACTGAAAATTTCCAACTTATCAATGACCATAGCAGCAAACTCCCAGTGCATACTAGTAGGGACAGTGGTGTATTGACTATCCCACTGCCTCAAACGAGAGAAAACATCTCTATACACAATGGCTGTAGATAGCATATCATAGGTGGAGTTCCACCTAGTTGGACAATCAAGCACAAGTTGCTTCTCACAAGGCACTTTAAGCTGCTTAGCAGTTTCAAAGAAGGTTTGTACCCTCTTAGGAGTGGACTTCCAGTACACAACACTATCTCTAACCAATTCAATGCCATCTTTGATGACTTCCAACCCTTCTTTCACAATGAGATTCAAAACATGAGCAGAACATCTCATTTGAACCAGCACACCATCCAACAACAGATCATCACTAGCAAGTTTAGTTTTCATATGAGTAATCATGGCATCATTGGTGGTACAGTTATCCAAGGTAATCGAGGACAACTTTCTATCAAGATTCCAACCAAGCAAACACTTGAACAACCTATCTCCCAACCTCTTACTAGTATGAGGGGCAGGGACATAGATGAAACTCAACATCATGTTTTTAAGTTTCCAAGAATTGTCAATAAAATGACCAGTAACGGCCATATACCCCATCTTTTGGTTAGTTGCAGTCCACATATCAGTTGTGACTGCAACTCTACCAATATTACCATCTAAAACCTTCTGAAGCTTTGCCATCTCAGCCCCATATAAAGCAAATATGTCCCTCTTCACTGTATTTCTACAAGGGACAGTGAACTGGGTTTGCAAAGAACAACAGAAACGTTTAAACCCCACATGTTCAACAATGTTCAGGGGATACTCATGCACCATAATCATAGAGCACAATTCCTTCCTAGACACATCAGAATTGAATTGAGTAGCAGATAGGAGGGGTTTTCTAGTTGGTTTATAATCAGGACCAAGAACTCTCTGCCTACCATCATGTATCTTTCTTTGGGTGCAAGTTTTGTAATGGTTCCTCAAGTGGGAGGTTCCATTACTAGTATCACCACCTAAACGTTTTCGACAGTATTTACACTTGGCTTTAATCTCCCCATTAAACTTGACCCTCACAAAATGTGGCCAGACATCAGAAGTCAATTTACGATCTTCAGCCAGAATTATTTCAACATTTTCATTCCCAGAACCATTAGCATCATTCCCAGAACCATTATCATCATTCCCAGAACCATTACCATTAACATTGCCATTACCATTACCATTACCATTACCATTACCATTACCATTACCATTACCGTTTTGATTAGAAGGCACAGTAGGATCATTCGCATTCAAAGCACAATTTTCAGTAGCACCATCCATCTACATAAACAATTAAATAATTGCATTCAATCAATCAACCAAAACTATAAACTACCCAGACAAATCACACAACACACAATACAAATTACAATCGACTAAATCGAGAGTTGAATTGGACCAATAAAAAAGGAAAGTCTTCGATTGGAAGTTACCTGTAATCTGGAGAGGGACTGAGGGAGACTCTGTTCACCAGACTGCAGATGGTGAGCACTGAGCTGATGCCTCGAATGATAGACACAGCTGATGCCTCGAATGCGAAGCTAAACAACTCCCAAACAAAGCCAAAAAACAAAAGAAAATTAGCATGCATGCATCGAATGATAGACACAGCTCATGAATCTGGAAAAATAATGGGTTAAGTTTGTGCTTACCTCGACTGTGCTCTGAGCAGAGTGCAGGTGATGGGTTTAAGGAAGAAGGCTGACCAGTGACCTGAAATTAATCGAGGGGTTGATTTATATACGAGAAGAAGGAAGAAGGCAAGAAAGTTGCAGCAGAATACGAAGGGAAAAGGGGGAGAAGGAACTTATCTCGCTCGATGTGCGATATCACGTCGATTTCCCCCAATAGCTGCAAATCGAAGATTGCAGCGGGCAATTTAGGGCTCTGCATGCTGTTTCCCGACGAAATCGCCGGCAAAACTAGCATCCAATTGGCCAAATTGAGAGATAATGATTGCCAGTAGGCAATCATAATTGTATAAAGAAGCTGGATTGGGAGGAAATCGTGGGGAACAGAGAGATTTTTTAGGCGGATTAGATGTTTGGAGATTCGATGGAGAGAAAGAAGCTAGGGTTTTGGGAGGTTCTCGAAGAGGAAGATGAGAGGATTAGAGGAATGGGAGCAGTCGTTTGGGACGGCGGAGAGTGGAAAATGAGAGATTAGGGTTTGCTGTTGCTCGTTTTTTGGTTTATATATGATGTCTAAGCGACGTCGTTTTATGATTCGGGGCGGGGGCGGGGCGGATACCACTAATACCGTCCCCACCCATCGCCCGCGACCCACGAGTTTCGGGTAAATCCGAATCCGCCAAAAGCCCACAACGGACGGATTTTTAGGGTATAATTCGGGCGGGTTTCGGGTGGATACCCGCTGGGTCGGTCAGGGTTGCCAAGCCTAGTGGTTTTTGCAGTAGTGGAAGAAAGACAACGAATCGGAAGGGGTTGAGTTTTGGTAAATTAAATAACATGTTTTGGTAAATTAGGTTGGGTGAGGCTGATTAGGTGGTCAACTTGCAGGACTCGGCTTTTTTGCCAGTCTAGTTAGCACTTCTGTTTGCCACATCATCAAAAATCTGACGACGTTAATGGAGACTAACGACCAGTTACTAACAGTGAAATGAATCATAAAGTTAGTGGATAATATGAACGAAAAGTAATTTCATTGGCAAACATGGAAGTTTTATGTAATTTGAGTGACAAAACGTGTAATTTAGTCATTCTATAAAGCTTCCTTGATAGAGAATGCCCAAAATTTATGGAATATCTTAGTAGCATCTGATACTACAATTAATAATGTGATTGTCGGGTTGCCACAGAAGTTCTTTCGAAATGTGTTTCCGCATTTGTAGTTGATGGTTTAAAAAGAGAATTTTTGGATTTAAATTTTCAACATAAACTTTAGAGGAGGATCAATTAGTGAGGACCCTTATGAAACTCTATGACATGTGTTACTTTGAGAACTACGTCTGTAAATTCCAAAAGTATTATTGCAATTTAAACCTAGTATGTCAAGAATACATTATACATGAATATGCCCGTTCTTTGCTAAGTTACTCAATAGCTGGCAGAAGTAGCAAAAGCAACTTTTGATCTCCTCTTGAATGAAAATGAAATTGTTGATGGGTTAGGAGAATAGAATACAGGCAGCATGACATGTCATAAAAAAAGGCATGTACTGAGGGTTGTTTGGTTTTCGTGATAGTTAAATTGATTCATTGTCATCAATGTATGCATAATAATATACATGTATATAAGAAAATTGGTGTATCGTAGTTTACATCGTTTGGATTCTGTAATAGCTATTGTAGTATTTAAATAAAATTATATTACTTTTGGGTGAAATGTCATTTTTACCCTTTTTTAGAATAAAGAAACAACACACATAAAAAGGTAGAGCATAGTTGGGAGAAGAAAAAACACAACAATCTCAATCAAACAATCTCAACAATCTCATCGGAAACTTGAGATTTAACCATCACTCATTTTGAGTGATAGTTTGTGTCACATCAAGCAAACAATGCATGTATTGTGTGTACAGAAAATTCAAAAAAATGATGCATTGTTGACATTGCATGCATTGTAACTATCTATACCAAACTATCACCAAAACCAAACGACCCCTGAAATTTAAGTTAGTGGTCTAACCCCGTGCGAGTCATGTCAATTGTTTGCGCGACTTATCTAACTACCCCATTCCAAGCCAAGTATAACCCAAAATGACGTTGCTAATATAGTAGCGACCAAGGTCATATTCCACGGGTTTCGATACCCTAGGTTACTTCTCACGTTATTGTTATTGTTATTTAGCCAATCTGTTTAGTTAGATTTTTGGAGGTCATTTGAAAATACTAGAGGAGAAAGCAATGATACAAAGTAGGTACTTCGAGGTAACTCTCTTTCCCTAAACCTAGGTTTGTCATGCAAATGGCTAACTATATTGGGTTTGCAGGATGAGGTGCGGAACTCACTAAATTGAGGGTTTCAATGATTACTCCGCCTCCTCCTAGTACGCTTTACGAGACCCATTGTCACTTCACTCAAAGATAATGTACTAAGGAATAATCGCTAGTTCCCCTAAATTTGTTCAACCTATCATGCACACTAAAGCAATGGATCGATGATACTTGCATCATCTCTAGCATTGTCTTAGGAAGGCATTCCTTCAGTAGGGGTTCGGTCATCTTGTTCACTTAAAGGAACCCTAAGATCATTCATCTACATTTAATTAGCCTTAAGGCGCTCAGATCCCGTCAGATACAGTACACCTAGTTCATAGACTCAGTTGTGGGCCAATAGGGAAAAGTTGGAGAGACAAGCCACAACATAATCAAGCATAAATGAAGCATATAATCAATAAAATAAACAAATCCATACTGAAACCCTAACGCAATTACATCTACATTCAAAACCTAATTCTAGGATTTGGGGGTTTTTAACCCCTAGTACCTTAGAGGACTACTCCATAAACGAGGGAAGAATATACATGTAGATAAATAGAAGAAGATTTGAAGAGCTCCCTTCCTCCTTCTTCTCCTTCCTTCAACTTCTCTCTCTCAAACCAGAAAATTCTCAATTGATTTCAGCTCGCTAAATGAGGGGGAGGTACCCCCTATTTATAGATTTTAGGATCTCGACAAAGTTCACAGTCGAACTGAAAAATAGCGGGACGATCAAGGAAGGGGAGGCTACTATCATAGACTTGTTGTTTTTATGCTTTGATGGATGGGAAGTTCACGACCCGACTTCACGGTCGTAATACATGAGTCGTGGCCGCAATCTTTCTCGCGCGCTTTGATGAAGAAAGTAGTAAGTCGACTATCAAAACTTTTTGTTTCTTCCTTGTTGGATGCTCCAAGAGTTTGGGTCTGAGGCATCCTAATTCGCTGTCGTGATCTTCGCTATGAAGGATGCGATCTTGGTGTCCAGCTTCACGTTCTCATTTCCCGGGCATGATCTTGTATGCCCTGGCCGTGATCTTCAGTTTTTGCACATTTCTCTACACTTGTGCCCTTTTTTGGTACCTAAAACATTCATATTGTCTAACACACCCAAAAACACTATAGTTTTCTCCAATGAGTGAATAAGGGTATAATTGACGATATATTAACCATGTAGACCATGCAATGACTCGAAACAAACCTAAATATGGGCTCTAAATAACACCATTTTGGGTGTTATCAAACCCCCCCCCCCCTTCCACACTTGGGTGTTTGCTTGTCCCAAAGCAAACCAACTCAAACAAGTACAACTTGATAAACAATCAACATGGTATGAGTCATAATTCTTCGTTACACTAGTTAGAATAGTCGGGGTCGAGTGAACGTTACTCCCATCTCACTATGAAAACACATACTTCCGAATGAGAACCATGTCGACTAAGTAGGTTAAGTCATTCAAGGTTCATCGGGAGACTATAAAAAACAATAAAAGCAATGGACTCTTCTAATGTGCTCTTTATTCTTTCTTTTTCATGGCAGAAGTTATTGTTTTAAGTCTTCTTTTTTAAACATTGCCACACTTGGCACCAAACATTTGCAATTTGGAAATTGGCATCTCTTCAACATGACCAAGAGTGAAAGAAACATTTCCTTCCCTATCAAGGCCCCATGTGGGGAATGTGATGGTCAGATTCATTGCCCAAACACAATTTCCCAACCTGCAATCCATGTCTCAATGACAGACGGGTCGCCACACATGTCGGGTTTAAACGAGACCCGAGGTCTTGTTACTCGCTAAAAGGTGCTTTGTACCTTGCCCTACGAGCCCTTGAGGAGGAGAGGTGTGTTGGGGGTGGAAAGTAGTAAAAGATGATCTAGATGCGGTAAAGCTATCGAACCCCAAACACATCTTCAATTGGCACTCCAGACCGAGATAAGAGCCATTCGACGCCGCAACTCAAACACTTTGCATGGTTGCCTCTCACGCGAGAACCTCAAATTTCAGAACTTTTTTTTCTCAAAGGTGAGCACATTTTGCCAATGTTTTTTAGTCCAAAGTAAGTAGAAAGTCCCTCACAGATATCTTTACCTTAGTAGCAAATATTATCAACTCACTAAAGAGGAAGGTAGGAGTAAAACCTCTCATACACCAACAACTCTTGTAAATGCAAACTACTCCCTATAAAACACACCACTTCGGCTATCTAGCAATTCAAAGCACATTGATGAGCAAGATGTAAGGACAAGATGTTTAGAACCCTCAAATTTGAAATTTTTTGGGTAAATCATCAATGTTCCAAACACATATTCTAAGTCATTGATAGGGCAAAAGCGTAATGTCAATTCCTATCTTGTAGTAAAACCGGAAATCCAGGTATCGTCTCTCAGGGACTGGTACAATCTTATAATTTATTCATTCTGTGGAGCAAACTATAAGTGAAAAAAGGTTTGGTTGATTAGATTATTAACTAATAACAAAATAATAAAACTAATTACGCAAAGTAAACTTGTCGGGAGAAATTCAATGGGAGAAGCTCTGGGAGAAACACCAGGACTCACTACCTATCCTATCCAGATCAATTCACATATTCCAATCAATTTAATCCAACTCTCTACAGTCAGGATATCACGAATGTGCTAGCTATCCCTGTCGGGAATTACTACGTACTAAACAATTAAATCAAATCCTACTGTCGTAGCTCAATGACTTAATCATTTAGCCTGAAGATCGATATCCTAATCAAGACCGCATAGTACCTTATTTAATCCACTGTCGCTTCGATAAGTCACTATGTCACATGAAATATGTTCAGTTATTAGGGTTTCACTGTCGCTAATAACCTAATCAACTACAAATCGATGTATTGGTGGCCAGTCAACACAAAGCATTAAGTAATTCCATGTGATAGAGATTGGAAGAAAAGAAATACGAATTAATCCATCAAATCAAGAAATAGTTACATCCTATGGTGTTTCCCCCAGAAAACGGGGTTTAGTTCATGATGAAGCTGAGATAAATCGATAAAGTTTTGATCATCATATTCTAAATCAACAATAAACAACTAATTTGATTCAGAAAATCCAATCAAATAATCGCTCTCGTTGAGCTCAGCTCAAACCGCCTTGGAGAAGTCGATTGCCAATTGCCCAATCACCGCTCGTCCTCCTGCTTTGCTGCGTCCTCTGCCTTTTTCCCCCAAAAAGAATTCCGCCGCCCAGAGATTGCTTCCCAGAATATGTATCCCTATCCTCCTGGCCCAAATCCTCCTCTGTCCAAAACGCTGCTGCCTTTTTCTTTTTCCAAAGAATTTCGCCTCCCTTTTCCAATTGTCCACAGCTACCTTTTCTTTCTTTTTCCCCCCAGAAATTGGTTCCGTCCAAAATAAATGCCACCCACCAGAGATGCCAAAACCCTCGGCCCAAAATAATAGTCTCCACCAAAAATTGTCTCTGGCCCATTTAGGCCCACTTCTTTTTCTTGCCAGGTGAGTATTCCATCAGTGATTCGAGTCGATTGATTGCTTGTGCACTCTCTTCTTTTTCGTACTTTCTCCACCTGCAACATATCAAACTCATGGCACTAGGCAGTAATGGTTTTTCAACCATTATCGGGTTAGCGAGCCCTAAAATAGCACCAATTGGCTAAAACATACCATGTGATAATCACATAAAGTCCAAGAATTCAATATGTTAAAGCCGATTATCAGCCATTCAATACCACAAAGCACAACTCATCCATAGCAAAAACTCCCGCACATAGGGCTTTCCATTTGGTTTTGGTTTTTCGGTTGTAACCGAAATCAAACCAATTGGAAAGCTAATGGTTTCGGTTTTTCGGTTTTAAACCAATAAGCAACTTTATGGTTTTGGTTTGGTTAAAATCGAAAAACCAATAGAAACCATTAAGAAACCAATAAGAATAAAATTATTTATCAACAAATTTTTTTTTTCTGTTTCTTTTGACACGCATGCCAACCAATAATTTGTAATGGCTATTTACCATTATTCTGACATTTATATTTAATAAAAAGGAGGGAAATGGGAAAAAAATATGAGTGTATGAGTACATGTTGGTTTTTTGGTTATCCAAACCAAAACTAAAACCATTAAAGCTCTTGTTGGTTTTTGGCAACCGAAAAACCAATAAGGGCCTTAATGGTTTTGGTTTTTCATAATTAATGATTTGGTTAACCAAACCAAACCAAACCAAACCAAATTGACAGCCCTACCCGCACACAATCATACACGTATCACATTCATAATCACTTGTATGGTTAGTTTTTTGTTTATATTTCAAATTCTATATTGAAAAGGTACCATAAATTTTAAATTTTATCATTATTTTAAGTGAGTTTAATAATTTTTATGTGGTTAAAATAATAGATAATTATCAGTATTTTTCTTTATTATTACTTTTATTAAAAAAGTTGGCCTCCCAAACTTCAAATCATGGTTTCGCCCTTGAACAATTATATATGGGATTTGTACTTCAAGAGTAAGTATAATTATGTATTGCTTATAAAAATAGTGTTTATGAGGTGTCGAGTCATTAATGGTTTTTAATAGCTTAATACTAGTTAAATTAGTAAAGTGTGAACTGCTCACCACACTGATTCATACTCCTGTTCTGTTCCGACAACACTGATGAGAAGAAAAATAAAAATAGACAAAAAGAAAAGAGCTTAAGCATGACAAGAAAGACGAGCATGAGCTTCCACCAAACCATGGGAAGATGACAGCCAACTCTAAGAACGAGAGAGAAACACTCTCACAAGTCATAGGGGAGAGTGTTTTACCTTCAATAAATAAATTAGTAATAGACCTTGAGTCACTTTTTAGTCACCCTTTATTCCAAATCTATAATACCATCTCCAACAATGGTTCATAATTCAAAAAGTTCAAAAAGTTGTCCAACAATGAGTCCAAAAGGGGCAAAGATCCAAAAACTGCAAATTTGGGGTTTAAATTTGGCATAGTAAAGGAAAGGCTTAATTACAAGTTTGGTCACTCGAATTGCTATAAAATTTCACGTTTGCTACTCAAATTAATTTATTCCATTTATAGTCACTCGAATTAGTTGAACAGTTCAAGTTCGGTCACTCTCCGTTAACCTCCGTTAACTTTGACTGACGTGGCGGTCAACTCTGACAGTTGACCGTTAAATGTGTGACGTGGCAAATAAAAAATAATTAAAAAATAAAAATTAAATTTTTAGAAATTACACATCATTATAAAAAAAATTATAATTATAAAAAATGAGAAAAAGAAATAATCACACATTTATTTGCCACCTCAGAACCCACGACCTCACTATTCTCGAAATACAGATAAATTTTTAGAAATTTCAAATCTTAGGCTCCGCAACTAGCGGCTGCCGCCAGCTGCTCTCCTCGATTCCCCGCCTGAGAGCCGCGATCTTGCCGCCTTCGAACACGAACCTCTTGGTTCTCGTGCCGGGAGTGGCCACCGCCGCTCGAAACCTCTCCATGCATTCGCCGTGTACGGAAAGGTCCGCGGGAGGAAACACGACAGTGCAATCCTCAACAACGGCGGTGTCACCATCTCCTTCCCTAACGGTGCGGCCCCCGGAATCTTGCATCGCGAATCCGCTCCACGTGGCGAGAAAGCAGGCGAGCGTGCAGGCATCGGCGAGCCCGTGCCACACGCACACCCCGATGCTCACCCCTCCGCAGCCGTCGAAAAAGCTGACATGGACGGCCAGGAGCACCAGCTCGCCCTCCGAGTCCACGTGTCGGCCACGCGGGCGGCATAGAAGCAGCGGCACCAAAACGTCGTCGTCCGGCGCCTGCAGGACGACGTCGGACATGGAGCCGGCGACGACGCGGGCATTGACGAATTCGGCCCCGGCGTCGTTGCAGTCGACGGCGAAGGCGTCTCTGTACCGGCCCGCGAGCGGGTAGTAGACGTTGAGGGTTTTGGCGAGGGAACCCTTGAGGCTCTCGGTAAGCAGCGAGCGCTGTTGCGTAGAAGAAGAAGTGTTGGGGTAGAAGAGGCAGAGCGGGACGTAGCAATGCGGTGCGGTTTGATCGAGAATGGTGAAGTTGTGGGTTCGGAGGTGGAAATACAGATAAATGTGTTTGCCGGCCAATTCGGTGACGTTGGAAGTCCGATCTGGAAACAGAGTGGTCGGAGCGGCAGTTCAAGTTTTTGTGATAATTTTTTTTTCATTTTTTATAATTATAATTTTTTGTGATAATGATGTGTAATTTCTAAAAATGTAATTTATATTTTTTAATTATTTTTTATTTGCCACGTCACACATTTAACGGTCAACTGTCAGAGTTGACCGCCACGTCAGTCAAAGTTAACGGAGGTTAACGGAGAGTGACCGAACTTGAACTGTTCAACTAATTCGAGTGACTATAAATGGAATAAATTAATTTGAGTGGCAAACGTAAAATTTTATAGCAATTCGAGTGATCAAACTTGCAATTAAGCCGTAAAAGAAAAGGAGGTTCAAAATATCAGACCCTAGAGTAAGAGGGCGGGGAACACGCTGAAAGAAGAAGTGAGCTTGACACGCAAAATGGAACCCATCACATTCATGTGTGCTTTGCACTCACTCCCCTGCACATTAATTAGAGAGTATATGGTTGTTTTATGACGAATTATCGTGCTTTCATTATTGATGATGTCATATTAACACCAAAATATTTTATGTCCAAAATAAGAAAAATTATAGAAATGTTCAACTTAATTAATTAATAGTACCTATAAACAAATTATCTAATTAAACTAATGAAATCTATACTAAACTATATTATGAGACAAAGTGAAATTTTGGAACTTGTTTGAGCAAAACTACATTTGATGGGCTAGAATGCTAAATCTAGGCCCAATTTTTTGAACTTTGGATATCTTTATTGGAGATAGTGGAAGAGTAGGAATGTTTAGATATTTATGTTATTTGTTGGATTCAAATATAGATATTTGGATGTTGATGTTAAATGTTGTGTTTAAAAATGAGAATTTTCATTTTGTTTGAAATATTGTATTTATTTTAATATGGATGCAGATTTTAGATAGATTTTTTCCAAATGTTATATATATATATATGCAAAGGCTAGCATACACCTGGTGTACGCTATACGCTTGTGTTCACACTCATAAATTAATTTTTAATTATTCTTAAATTAATTATAAATAATAATAATTAAAAACATACCCACTAATATTTTTTTATGTACGTTTTAGTCATCCTAAATTATACATAATCATTCATCTAAATAGCCACTTCTCGTCTTCTCCGACTGCTCCCAAACCCCTCAAAGAATGGCTTCTTCGTACGCGCCTTGGCATTATCTTCGCCAGCCTCTTCTGTTCGACACCGCTTCCGCTCTGCTCGACGACGTCGGGGATACGGTGGCAGAAACCTCTTCGCCTACCTGCAGGTCCTACAACAAACGACTTCCGAGTAATGATCCTGCCCAAGGGAGTCACCGGATACGTGATCGACCGGGAAACTGGGAAGTTTGAGCTGTACCTGTTGGAGACCTGCAAGTTGTCGATCTATTCGTACCAGAAGGGACGACAGTCGGTGGCGGGATAAGTAGAGGGGGGTCAACAATCTGGAAGGCTTTAAGGTGCACATCTTGCTCCTGTTGCTCAACATCGTCGAGGTTGTTCGCGCGGACCGCCACATGCAGTTCAGTCAGCTTCCCCCTCGATGGGTATTATGGGAGCCCGGAGTGCGGCTGCGGGTTTGATTGCGAAGGATTGGAGTCGTTATTGGGCTCTGTTGTTTCCTGGCTCCATTTATGTAACAAGGTTTGTTCGTAGAATTAATTGGATATGTATATGAATGGTGATCCAATAATGAGGAGAGGACAGGTTGTTGGTTTTATTTAATCGTTAGATATGAATGGAAGTCATTTGATCTAAGGGGTCGAAAAGGGTTTGTTGTTTGTGGAACCATGGCTGAGCTTTCCTAAGCCAGCTGAAAGCTCTGTTTTACAAACCAGTCCTCACCGCTGGTATTTATCGGCTTCAATGGAACATGACAGCAAGTGAAGAGTCTTATCCTCTCTAGAGGGTACAATTTCTCAAGATGGAGGCTATTCAGTTTCGTTAATGCTCACCCAGGCATGGAATTGAAGTTCCAATAGTGCTCAAACCATCCCTATCTGTGTCACTCCCTCTCCCCCTGTCGTCGTTCTGGAAAACAGAGGGACCTTGCTTCCTTCCCCATTACTTCACTCGTGGCTGGCATGTGGTAGTCGGTGAACATAATTAGAAACATTTTATGGGTTTGTGTGCTGTGTTCGAGCTTTTATTGGTGTGTCTGCTTTGTTTCTTGGTAGTTAAATCTGCAGGAGAGGTTCTGGTCTAAAAATTATGAGCAATGTGTTGTGTTTTTCATTTTGATTGTTTAGTGATATTGGGTTGGGCTGATTGCAATTCACCGTATTGAGTATCTTTCCTCCAAACTAGGCTTAAGCGGAATAGTTTACCGCTTTCCATTCACCAGCCGAATTATATAATCTTGCAACTTATCCCCAATTTGCTCCTACTATCTCTTGGACACTACCATCGATAGCTTACCAACCTAAAAGACATGATTGTCAATTCAGGCTTACCACTACTAATTATCAAATTAAAATTCGCATAGTTCTGACTTAAAGTTATGTTCTGGACGAGGGACATAACTAAAATAACAATTAAAATTTTGATTGAGGAACAAAAATAAAATTGGATGTAATGTTAAAATAAGAGTGGGGATTTTAAATCATTGAGGACAGAATGGTGTTGAAATTTATGTATTCAATTTTAATGATTGATTTAGAATACGATCGGTAAACAATGTTTTGGGATTATAGCATATAGACAACATAATTAAGGTATGTAACAGTAGTTATTTAATTGTGATTTATTTAATTATAATTAATAATTACTCAAGTGTGAACGCAGACGTATATCGTACGTCAGGTGTACGCTAGCCTGAACCATATATATATATATATATCTAAATTTATTTACGGACTATTTGGTAGCAAACAAATCATAAATTCATTTAAATTTAAAATAAATTACTGTATAAAATTTATTTTCAAATTCATGTGTTTCATATTCAAATCTTTAGAAATAAAATGAATTCAATTCCCCAATCATGTTTGGCATACGCTCAAAACTGATTAAATTAAAAGTTTCCAATCCTAATTAATTTCAAATAGAAACAATATTTATTGAAAATTCATCTTCTAAAATCGCAAGTGACAAAGTTATTGTCCAGTCAATAAGACAAAGCTAAAAAATAAGTTTAGAAAAAAACTAGTAAAACAATGCATTGTATGGCGAGTTCTACGGTACCCTGAGTAAAATCCGGGGTACCGCATACATTGAGTATGAAAACACTATCTAGACCTTGAATTGACCGATCTTTCGGACATGATTCGTCCAAATATAGGCACAAAAAGGAATGCACCATCTTAGGGTTTATATATTATTAGTTAGATAATTAGGACCTAGGGTTCACTCATTAATAGGGATGACAAAAATATCCGTAACCGTGGATATCCGCTTGAATCCGACCTTGTTGGGTAGGGTAAAACTCGAACCCGAACGATTTTTAGCAGGTACGGGTAAAACCCGAACCCGAATATTGCGGGTAATGGGTGGACATGGTTTTCTCACTATCCAACCCGAACCCGCCCGATATACACATGCATATGCATTTTTTCCTAGAAAAATCATCACTTTTCTCTAACGTATTTTATATTTAGCATATAAATATAATTTTTTTATGAAATTGTGTTGTTTTAATGAATTTTCTGCATTCTAGTGAATTTTTGTCATAATTTTTGTCTTACGTAATGCGAGAATACATGTAAATATTAACATATTAGTTGGAGTTATAAGGAGAAACTATTATCCATGGATAACCGTGAATACCCGAAACACGAACGAGTATGGGCATAGTTTTGATTTTCTACCCGTTTCTTATGTGGGTATGGGTATGGGTAAAACCCGAACTACTTTGGGTAGGGTAACGAATATGCACTATCCGTCCTCGACCGGCCCCATTGCCATCCCTACTCATTAAGGGTTAGGGTATAATATCAGACCCAAAAATCCTGCTAATTCAAGGTCTAGATACCATTTTCATACTCAAGGTATGCGGTACCCCGGATTTCACCCGGGGTACCGTAGAGGGCACCTGTATTGATATATATACAGTATCAAAGTTGCAGCTTCACATTGTATATAAAAAACAATCTTCATCAATGTAACCGCAAAAGGAACACATATATACAATGGCGTAGCCATAAATTCGGCTAAGGTAGGTGCTACGTTAAAATAACAAAAATATTTACTTATATTTTATAATGGTCCACGATCTGTTTCATATTATGAAAAATTATCTAAAATACATTTATTATGCAAACTATAAAGAATGTCATTTAAATGTACCATACCAAAAAGTCATTCATAATTTCATCTGTGAAAGTCTCTTCTTCATGACATTTACATTAAAGAAAAAGAGATTGATGGTGATTTGAGGAGGCTGAAAATTGGGATCGTGAATTGGGAAGAGTCAGTCACAATGATAATTTGAGAATGGAAAAGTGTATTTTTGTATATGTAATATTAAATAATAACATATTATAAATTTGTTCAATGTTATACACAAAGCATGTAGAAACTATTCAATGTTTCATGTGTTACGATTTTTATTTTTTAAGGTGGTGCCTGAGACGTGGCTCCGCCACTGCTTACATATGTACAAACATATCTAACTTGATGATGCGCTATCTGTGCAGTTTGGAAATAGCAGGATAGTTGGTTATGTGCCCAAATAGCAAGTTGACGCTTAGCTCCATAATGGAACTTGGAGTCGCTCGAAATGCAGGGTTGAGGAGAACTATATATTAGATTAACATATTGACCAAATGAGCAGGGTTAAGCACGCCAAATTAGTGAAATGAGGATCAATGTAGTTAAAATCGCACTTTAAAACTTAAAAATTTACGATTTCACGTTTGTAGGTCACTAAAACGCTTTTACACAAAATCTCAGTTTTTATAACTTATGTAGTTAAAAATTCTGCTTTAAAACTTAAAAAACTTACGATTTTACGCTTCTAGATCACCATAACGTTTCTACATAGAAACTCGCTTTTGACTACCTTGATTGAGGATAATTATGTCATTCTATTATAATTAGTAAAATACTTGTGGAATTCATTTAAAAATACCATCTATATTTCTCAGAATTGCTATAACTAGTTCCAATTACGTAGATTTCAAAATTTAAAATTGAAATTGAATTCTATTAAATACCAACCACAAAAAAAATTTTATTTCAAATTGAATTTCTCAAAACTTATGGAATTCATTTATACCAAACAATATGTTAGTGTTAGTGATTCTCATTTCCGTTTTGCTAAAACTGCCTATATTTGGCCCGACTACTATAAGTGTTTTTTGGCTTCAAAACCTGAAGTGGGGCTAAACACCTCTAAAAGCTCGGATTTTGAAAAGCCGAAAAGTGCTTTTGGATAACATAAAAGCAGAAACTCCGATTTAGAACTTATGTGAAAAACTGTTTTGAAAATACAAGATTATCCTTATTATATTTTAATTTTATTTCGAAAATATAATTTTATTTCATTTTAAAAATAAAATAAATTATAAAATTATATTATTTAATATAAAAAATCTAACAAGATCCATTTTGACTATTTTTTATAATTTTTATTCATATTTTATATTATAAATTTTTTATAGTCATTTTACATAACCCTAATATTAAAAAATATTTCTAATAGTTTTTTGGCCTAACACACAATTGTTTTTTTTGAAAAATATTTCTCTAAATATCTCCAGACAGAAGTCGATTTTGAAAAAGATATAGCACAACCAAACTAGCCCACTAACATGAACTGAAATAAACCGGTCGTACCATCGATTTGAAAATCTTGCACGAAAATAAAAAAGGCTTCAGAAGAAAATCTAAAAACCGAACCAACCAAGTTGTTTTCCTTCTTATTCTAGGTTTCTTCCTCAAATTGGGCTTTGCTCAGACCAATCCGATTCGGATCCCTGCAGGAAGGAAGCGAAGGACACATTAATCGACGGAAGGCAGAAAAGGGTAAGAAAAGAAAGAGGAAGGGGCTGCGAAGGGAACGCCGGTTTCCCGCTTTCGCTGAAATTTACCTCTTTGAGGAAGCAAGGTTAGGAAGGTTTGGTGGATCGGTGGAAGGGAAGGGTAGAGAAAAAAAAGGTTCTTGATTTCTTGAGACGCCTCTCCTCTTTCTCCCTCGCGTCGACCTGTCCCTTTCGTCGCTTTGTTGTTCCTCTTTTGTTTTACGGGACAGGACAAAGCGAGCGGGAGAGAAATAACTTCTTGGGGAAGGAGACTGACGCTGCGCAAGGTTAAGGCTCGGGAAATTTTGGGCTTTTGGCAAAAGTAGGAATGGGGCAGGGAGAGGTGTTGACTCCGGAGAAACAAGCTGAGAGATTGAAGGAAGACGGCAATTCCTACTACAAGAAAGAAAGATTTGCAGCTGCCATTGATGCTTATACCGAGGTATTATCTCTCCTCCGCCTTTTTCCTGGTGATTGCTTCTTCGTCTTCCTTGTTTCGATTAGTTCTCATGTGAGTGTTCTGTCGTTGCTAGGCGATTGCGCTGTGCCCTAATGTGCCCGTTTACTGGACTAATCGCGCGGTTTGCCATCGGAGACGCAAGTATGTTTCAACCCACCATTGATTGTGTTAGCTTCTCTGTTCTTTCCAGTATTTCGCGTCTTTCTGACTATTTTTTTCCCGGTTGTTCAAGCAACTGGAAGAAAGTTGAAGAGGATTGTCGGACGGCTATCAAGCTTGATCCCAATGCCGTTAAGGTGACTGCACTTTCAACTGTGACTTTCTCTGTTCGTATACTTGGGCTTTGGTAATCTGGTTGGTAGAAACTATATGCCTTCTGATGAGCCACATAATCTACAGTGCGATGACTTGTGTAGCCTTGTCGCTCGTGTGCTATGACACATACCCACCTAACGGATTGCTATTTGATAATGTGGGCATGAACTTCATAGAGATATAAGTTTCGTAAATTCATGATTAGATAAACGGTTATAAGTAGTATTTGGTTCTTCCATGGTGCCCCTTTATACATGTATATGTTTTCTTTCTTGGTTTGTTGATGTCAATATATAATGCACACACTGAATACTTATTCCGGATGCTGCAATCTACTGGTGCCTGTCCCTTTTTTTTTTGCTAAGTAAATGAGCTTTCAAGGTTCAACCTTGCTTTCCACTCATGAACAGGCGCACTATATGCTGGGACTTGCTTTACTACAGAGAGAAGAGTATGCTGAGGGAGTTAGGGCGCTGGAAAGAGTAAGACCAATTTTCCTTAAATTAACTAGCATTTGGTATTTATTCTAGTTACATAGCTGTCTTGGTCGTTGCAAGCTTTTTGATTGAGGCATATATATATCTTCCAAGCCTCTCATCAATGTGTTGTCATTTTCCATATGTATCTTGCAAAGCCACTAGTTCGGATCAGACCTGTTATGTGCAAAATTATCTCTTTTGTTTGTTTTTTCCTGGCTGTCATATATCCGACTTCTTTTGCTGTTTCTTTCCAAAGGTTGGCTTTAACTTGAAACTCTATCGACAATTCTTAGTTACTTCGTCTTGGTATATATTTGCTGATGAATAGGCGAGATTGTGTTATAGGTTCACGTATCAAGGTTCAGATAGCTTAGCAGGAAACTGAAACTTTTCTGTAGAAGTATACACGGGCAGCGTTATTAATCATTATTCATTGATAATGACAACACCTATTTCTTCTGTGGGCCATAAATTTACCTTGGTTGCATGACTTTCCTTGTTGTATTTACTTTTTATTGTTGGTTGATTAAACAACCCTCTTCCTCGAGGATCGTAAGTGAGGTTTACATTCAAACTTCAAGAATTCAACCTGTTTATGGATTCTACAATCATGTTTTGTTCCCCTCCTCGCAATACCAGTATGGATTGGATGGTGAATTTAATTTTGAAAACCTATGTTAAATTTATACTGATACAATTTAATTAAGCAAAATTGTCCAGGTCCTCTGACAAGATCACATAAAGACTAGACGTTTCCTTATATGAATATAGCTAGAGTAGGTTTTGGAGTGATATGTTACACAATGTTGAATTATCGTTTCTTGTTGATCATATAAGATTCATAATCTCATCTTGTTGATCATGTATGGTTCTTATGCCTTGGCCATTAACCCAATGCAACAACAGAGTTTCTATGTACAAAAGGGTTTATTTTGACAATTCTAGTAATAGTGATCTTGATTTGTATTTTGATGCTGGAATGTTCTCAAAGATTTGACACCTGCTTGGGTGGAGAACCCTTTTCTGAAGGTTAAAATCTTGTGTCACAGAGGAATTGGAGCTAATGTGGCACATGTTGTTTGTTGTCTAGTTGTGTTGCTGCAACCAGTATTCATCTATTTAGGTTTGCATGAGGGAATTTAGGGGATGGGCTTCCACGATTACGTGGATTTCAACTAATTCCTTTTTGTGCAACGAACATTACTTTGCAATTGCCATAGTCGCAATGCCACAACCTCTTCCAATTTTTATGAGTTGAAGTCCAATAGCCACCTGACCCCTAAAGAAAGGAAATGCCACTGCCATCACTGATGGAATTTTAGAAAAGACAAACCTACTTTCAATAATGAATAAAGAAATATCAACCAATTCTGTAAGCACATGAACGGTACAATAGATTAGCGGTTACATGGTGTTTTGACTGGTAGTGTTGTAATAGTATTATGGTACCATGATTACATTAAAGGAGGCCAAGGAGAGGATTTGGAGTGTTTTCTGTTCGGGGCTCCTTTATATGACCAAAGGTTATTCTGGGATATCTTTTGTCATTCCATTGGTTAGGCTGGTTGAGATTTGCTTTCACTCACCTTTTATAATTCGCCCAATACATGGCCCAAGAGAGATTGTCATTGGTTAGGCTGATTAAACTCGTCAGTCTCAAACATTTGTGAATTATTAGTAGCTGGCAGAAATGTCTATTTCACGATGTACCTTCGAGTTATCATGAGAGTCGGTTTTAACTTTTAAGCGTGCTATTTGACCTAGTTACATTGGGGGAGCAGTGTTGTTTTTGTCTGGCAGAATGTTAAGGGTCTTTTTTTTTATGATTGCTCTCAAACAAGAGTTTTGCTGGTTGAGTTGGTATATGTGATTAATGCCTAATACCGGGTTTTGCATTGCATTCATAGGCCATGGAGCTTGAAACAGGTGCAAACCCTACAGGAAAAAATATGGTGGAAGAAATATGGCAAGAGCTTGCAAAATCCAAATACATTCTCTGGGAGAAAACATCTACACAACGTTCATGGGAATTGCAGAGCTTGAAGTATGTAATCCCAGTGAGTTTTGTCTGACATGATCATATAACCATTTTCTCCCACTGCATCTCTCATTTTGTTTCCTCATGGAAGTTGTATGTCCATCTTTAGTTATACTTTTCCATTGTGATTCATTCTATTTCTTTAAATCTGTCTCAGAGAAGCTTGCGAGAATGCTCTTAGAGAGAAGTACTTCCTTGATGACCATCAAAGTGAAGGATTTTTGGATGAGACAGCTGCTGCCTGCAATGCACAACAGTTAGATGATCTGGACAAAGTGTTTAAGAAGGCAGGAGAAGATGACGTCCCTTCGGAGGTGCATGCTAATCCCGCTTTAGGCTTTTGATTATATTCCTCTTGAGTGCTATTTAAGTAATTCACTAATCCAATATTGATAGCAGGTACCAGATTACCTTTGTTGCAAAATTTCTCTCGATATCTTCCGCGACCCTGTCATCACACCAAGTGGGGTGACATATGAGAGAGGAGTGATTCTCGATCACCTTCAGAAGGTAACCGTACAAGTTCTTCAGCAATTTGGCATGCATATTTGTTCTGTTCAGATCTCATTGACATTCAAGGCTAATATATCAACTTAGGTGGGAAGGTTTGATCCAATCACACGTGCACCACTTGAACCATCTCAATTGATTCCAAACTTGGCTATAAAGGAAGCTGTCCAGTCATATCTACAGAAACATGGCTGGGCGTATAGGACGGACTGAAGGTTTCATATTAGAGGTTAGAGCCTGAAGTCTGCATTAGCTGATAGTGAAGGTGTGTCTCCAGGCGTTCTTGTGAATCATCTTCTATTCTATCGTGATGGGTTGGTTGGATGGGATGGATAACTTTGTAACTTATGGTAAACGCTTGGAAGTCGGAAAGTGCTTCCAAATGCGAATGAATGAGCTTGGTCAGTTTGACTGGAAGAGGGAGGAATGGAGCAGTTTTTGTTGAATTTGTATGGTTTTCGTAGTCTGAGTCACTGGTTTGTCTCCTGTACAGAAGCATTTCATCAGCAACCGCTTACCAAATGAACTGATTCTTTTGCTTGATATGAAGCAACATTATCAAAGACTGAAGGCTTCTCGTCTCTAATTTTTACGTCCGTTCGTGGTTTGGTGTTGGTTCTTTTTCGCTCCCATTTTCTTTGGTTCGCAGCTGTATAATATATAACTAATTGATGATGAAGTTATGAAGTGAGAAAGAAATCATAGAAAGAAGAAAGTTACAGATTAAACCAAATACAACAAACTACTTTCGGGAAGGATAAATACAATTTATTGGCGAAACCTTTCATTTCAAAATAAAATAATAGCCTAATCTTTTCAAAAATAATTTATTAATCAAATTGTTAACTTTTCATCCGATACCTCGTTGATTGACTCCGACGTGGCAAAATTATTGATGAGGTGGAAAGTTTATGATGACGTGACTAGAAAGTTAAATTTATGGCATGCCACATGGATATTAATTAATTTTATATAATATTTTATTTTTCTGAAACAAATAATATATTAAAAATCAAAAGAAATCCATAAATCTCACCCACTCTCTTCCTCTTCTTCCCTCCTTGTCTAGCGACGACGTTATCGCCAAACTCCTTGCGATTCTTCCTGCTGCCGCCTGATGACTCGATTTTACTCCCCATCTTATCTTTTTCCTTGCTTGCTACCATCGTCCTTTGCTGACTGCTCTCGCCTGAGACTCTTCACGAAATTTGAAATCTAGTGATACAATAACTCAAACTATACACGAAACACTAGTTCTAACTTGGATTCCAATTTTTTTTTTCCACAGATGAAACTAGTTCGTTGTGATATGGAAATGAGATCAATTTTCAATATATTTTGATCGAAAAATTTCATACCACTCGTTACCACCTTTGTTTTTAACTGAATTTCAAAAACATTTGCCAGATGGAATGAGTTCATCTTGATTTATTCGATTTACAAAATTCTTAAAAAGGACCAAAACGTTCCACTCCATACCACTCTGGTATAGCGGTGGTAACCAGTGGGACTAAATGATGAATGTGATAAATGACAGTTTGTATATTCCTACTATCATGTATTCAAATATTATACACTCTGATATATTCATAACACCATGATACACTTCACTACCATGTGGTATGATTTTATGCAGAGCCGACCTTAGGGGTGTGCCAGGAGGCCTTTCGTACAGTGCCCCCAAATTATGGGGGCCTTCGGTCTAGTGGCGGATCTATGGGACACTTCTAAATTTTGAAAAAACGATTATTCAATATGTATAGTAGTTAGCGTATGAGTGAAAGAATATTTAAGTGGCAGTAGGACACCTCTACAATTTGAAAAAAAATTATTTATCCCCCGATAGTGGTTTGTGCATGGGCAAATAAAAACATTTAAGTCGTAACCTATGGGATTTGAACTTGAGTCACTGCTAATATTAGAAAATATATTTTTTATTAGACTACAAACTCATTTGTTCTTTCATTTTAAATCGAAATATAATAGTAAAAAGCTATTCCTTATTACAATTATTTCAAAAGCTAACGTTTAAACCCAATTATGGACTCCCCTTGTCTAGTAAGATATATCGAGAGAGATTTGTAGAGTACAATTAAAGACCAACTGTATATTATAATTTTTCAGAATACAAAACACGCCTTGTGATTTTATTATAATTTGTACAAGTCAGATATTTTCTTATTACGTGATTATTTTATTATTAATTCTATTTAAATTTTAAAAGAGCATACCCATATCTAAAATCGTTGGGGTCCGCCACTACTCTGACTTGTATCATGTATATGTCTAAATATTATTGTAAAATTGATTTTGATTGTTAATTTAGAATGACATAAAATTAATGCATTGTATTTTGATTATGAGTCTAAAAATAATATTAAAAAACTTGAATGAAAATGCTAAAGAAACAAATGGACCGCATGAGAGGATGACTCGTTTGCTTATTAGAATTATTTCAAACCATATAACATAGTGCATTATTTGTCATGTATTTTCTTTGAAATAATAAAAAACGAGATATTGTTGATGCCTCATTATTATGATAACTAAAAAAATTTCCTTCAATTTTCCCCATTTTTCAGCTTTCTAAAGAGGAAAAAGAATTCAATTTCATCATTTAGTCTATTTGTACCAGTAAGACAACAATGCTAAATTAATTAAATCATCTTCAATGAATTTTATAATGTTGACTAGAATAAGGCAAAAGTCAATAATAGTAAAAATGAAAAAAAGAAGTAAATTCAATTTCGTACTATCTAATATTTTTTTCTCAAATATTTTTTCGTACTCTTTGAATCATCAAAAATTAGTTTTCTCTTCTACTCAATTAAGTTCTTATCACCTGAAATTCAGGTGAGCCTAGTTAATTGATTAATTGTCAATTTACTTATTATGTGGATTCTGATCTTTTATTTAATCTTTCTATTTGAATCATTAACATTCTTTATTTTAAATAATATTATTTTAAAATGATATTTTAATTTTATTTAGATTTTATTAGATTTTTTTAAAAGGACCTCATTTTATTTAAAGAATAGGGCCTCTACATTCTCGGGGCCTGCCCTGATTTTATGTATTACCAACATAGAATAGGACCTCTACATTCTTAGGGCAGACATGCTTTTATGTAGTACAAAACATCACTACCATGGAATAGACTGGTACTAAATATCTCAATTTTTTTGTTCAAAAAATATATCAAAATGGATATAATTTGAATAATACAATTTATCTGATTTATTTATGCAAAACAAATTAAATTACGTCTGAAAACAAAAGAGATATAGCCCATTAAAATTTATAGAAGAAATTATTAGGGGCCTTTCATAAATGGTGATGTGATAAAATATATGCATGGTTATTTATCTGTTCCCAAAATTTGCGGTCATAAAGATTCCTTGTCATGTGTATAACTACTTGATAGCCTATAAAAATAATATGTTTATAATTAGTGTAAAAAAATTACTTTCATCAATAAAATCATGTTAAGAGTATATCGAATTATAGGGATGAATTGCAAGTTTGGTCACTTATATTATTTATCTGTAACACGTTAGCCACCTGAATTACTTTCACTTATATAGACACCAGCTTTTGTCCGGGCAAAACATGCTAACTTAGATAATGTTTAGATTTCGTTTAAGGTTGACAATAGCAAATCTTAAACAAACTTCTAAATAAAGATGCATTTGTAATACTTGGAATGAACACGTTTTGCTTAACTAGATGAGATTAGCAATAGCAAATCTTGATGGATGTAATTTGATCTAACAATTTAGGCAGTTGTTTGACTTGGTTGTCATGGGAGTTATCTCTTAAGATGTTAGTTGTCAAGGGGCTTGGTTCTTCAATTACTAAAATAACGATTATAACAATGATTAGTTCAAGCCCATGTCCAAATCAACTCACAGTCAAACCCAAGTCCAGGTCAACTCGGGTCAAAGCTTGGTTCAGTCAAAGCCCAATCGATCTTAGTTGAAGGCTGCTCAACCAAGCCCAATCTGCCAAACTAAAGTCAACTTGGGGTGAAACCCAAGCCAGGCTCGGACCAAGCCCAGTCTCATTCGAACCAGAGCAGGCCCAGCCCACTCAGCTACCAGTCAGAAACATACACATACTTGGTCTCAATGCCAATCAAATTATAACTCAAACTTTTGCCCTAAAACCAATCAAATTACAACACAAGCCTACCCCGACAGTGGGTTCTCCTATTATAAAAGAAAGCTTTGGGCAGACGAAAATGGGGAAGGCCTGTCTACTTTCTTCTTCTGCCCCATACCACGACTTCCCGAAACACTAAAAAGTAAAAGCAACATGCCCTTCCTTCCCCTTATTTTCCACTGAAACTCCTCGTCTTCACTCTCAACCTCTTCTCTTCTACTTTTTCTCAATGAAACTCTGCAAAAAGAGACTTCCCTCTTTACTCTTTCTAAGAGACAGAAAAACAGAGGCACCCTTTTCCTTTCCCCACGAAATAGCAAACCGACTTCCTCCTCTTTTTGTCTTCTTCTTAGGCATAACCATACACAAAAATAAAACTCACCATGAATAGATACAAAAGACAAATAAAAAACTCCATTTCCTCCTTTCTCCTTAAGCTACAACATCACCTTACCAACGACACAAACAAAAAAGAAAAGAAGTAGAGCAGAAGCAGAGTTCAAAAGACAATAAAACAACCAAGGAGCAGCCAACAAAAAATCCACAGAAGTCAGACGGGAGGGAGCAGTACTGTTGGGATATGGATTAATATGCCTACACGACTATAAACGGGCTCAAGCCCACTGCAAGGCGTCCCGGGCCCAAGCCCACTCATGGAGGCCCAAGCTCTATATAAGGAGGCCAAAGCCTCCAAGTCAAAGATCTCTTCTTCCCTTCCTCACTTTCTCCTAAGGTTTCTCTCTCTACCTTATCTCTCTACATACCATACACTCTCCTATATCGTACTAACTTGGGCGTCGGAGCGTAGATCCCGGGGGCCGCCCCCCGCCTCACATGTTCTTCCACTCTCGAGGAGATCAGACGAGGGAGTCCAGATCAGAGCCCCATAACCGCCTAGTACATTCTAGGCTCAAACAATTGGCGCCCACCGTGGGGCTAAGATTCTGGCACTCCTTTCGTTTGATTTCCAAAAGAGGGGATGAAACCAAACCTCAAGCAACGGCAGCAGCTGCAGATCAAAAGCAAGAGCCGTCGCGCAGAATAAAAGTGAAAATGTCCCGGATCTGCTTCTCTTTTATGAGAAACGAGGAACGACAAGGATGGGCGGCGTGCAATTGGGGAGTTCATTCTTCGGTCCCTTCCCGCAGTCCGAAAATCCCAGATCCAAGAACATCGCATAATATGCCAACCGAGAACAGTCTCAAAATCGAAGATTTCCTCCATCATCTCTCCGATTTCCACGACCGCACTTCCTTCCCGGTACTCCTCACTCTCTTCTCTATCCTTCAGGTCAACAGGACGAGTTCCAGATCCGGTCGAAAACTCGCCCAAACGACCGGAAACAACAGCGACCCTCCTACTCACTCGTCAACCCCAGCACAACCTGTCATCGTCCCTGCTCGTCGTCCAGCTTCTCATCACCGCCAGCAAAGACGTCTTCTTTGCTCCGCT